CAGAAATGTGTTGCGTAGGATCCGCAGAGTTGCCGTTAAAAATTGTCACCTATTTTAATCATACGCGACAATAAATTCTTTATCGTCACATTTTCCTTGTTTCTTGCAATTAATCACCGATTTATATCGCTTTCTGATCAATATTCAATCTTTATTTCCGATTACTTTGTTTTCGATTTGGCAAAAGATGCGATAAATTTCGTAACGACGCTAGAAAATTGTTAGAAGCTAGCGAACAAAAATTAAAGTTAGCAATGAAAAAATGATTTTGTTTGGATAATAGGGGCGCATACAGGTTCGTTCGAGTGAACGTGTTGCTATGGTGGTGGGAGTGGCAAAACTTCACCGTGGCGAAATTATTCACGAGGCACGCCACTGCTAACCCCGACAAGATTGCATTCATCTTCGAGGACAAAGAATGGAGTTATCGGGAGGTGAGTTGAAATAATTACAATCTGGAGAGCAACTCGTGATACTTCTGATTTGCGAACGCAGCTGGAAGAATACAGCAATCAATTGGGACGTTACTTCCATGGAAAATCCTTGTCTCGCGAAGATAGCGTTGGCTTGATCTTGGAAAGTCGGCCTGAGTACGTAGGTATCTGGTTGGGTCTGAGCAAAGCCGGCTTAGTGGGTGCCCTTCTTAACACAAACCTTCGGCAGGATGTTTTGGTACATAGTATCAAGGCTGCTAATTGCAAGGCTGTCATCTTTGGATCAAATTTCAAAGATGGTAAATATCAAACTGTTGCTATAATTGAAAACAGCGAATAGTAATTTCTCGGAAAATCTTGAATACGCCACGTAATATAAATATATACTTTTCTGTCTTCTTAATAATTCAGAAGTAAGACACAGGATGAATACCAAGTCAAACAAACATAAGTTAATTTCGCGTTTTTTATTCATTTGTGTAATAGCATCTGAAACTGAGATTAATATGTCTTCTTTTTAGCTATTAACGAAATCAGGGAGAGAATTCCGAACGTGGCACTGTATCAGTGGTCAGAATTGCCCGATACCCCGTGTTTGGAAGGAGCAATCGATCTGAACCCGGAAATCAGCAACGTCGATTCCAGCCCCTTGGATACCGTGGCTCTTGGTACCCCTAGAGACAAATTGATTTATATATACACATCTGGCACCACCGGCATGCCGAAAGCTGCCGTTATTACCAATTTAAGGTATAACGTCTTTATTTTCCTTCTCGATTAATGCTTCAGCGGTTTGAGCATGAGTGGCTATTGTTAGTAAAGAGCCGACTTACGAGAATTTTTTATCTTGAGAGCTACTTCAGAGGAAACTTACATTTACCAATTTGCGAGAAATGATTAGCATTCGAATACAAAAGTTCTTGGTATCTCGACAACATTAAAATTTTCTTGTGATTGTTGTTGGAATACTTGTGCGATGCTATTTTCTTAGAAAAAATGCGAAAGACCAGGCAATGTTCCTTTCGTCAAACACTGTTCGAGGATGTTACACGAGCATAGCTTTTTGTGTTGCAACGGATCGTTACGTGATCATGGACGATCAGTCATCGTTTCAGGTACATGCTAATGTCGTGCGGCGTGAATTCTATGCTGAACCTACGACCGACCGATCGAATTTACAATTCTTTACCACTCTATCACACGGCTGGAGGACTAATTGGAGTAGGTCAAGCATTACTGAGAGGAATCACGGTTGTTCTCCGCAGACGCTTCAGCGCCTCCAAATTCTGGTCGGATTGCGTTCATTATGAATGCACGGTAAAGTTATTCTTGCGTTATTATTATTTTGCGTTTTCTTAAATTTACTATGAACATCAATTTAAATCTTCTGGAAGATAAAGCTTGTTTCATCTTCTTATTCTATGAGTTTCTTGTTGCCTTGAAAAGTTGAAAATTAGCAGAGAATGAGTTCAATATATATATATATTTCCTGTAACCATAAGGGGACGTAATTCGTTGCATGAGAGAATACTTTGGTTATAGATAGCCCAATACATCGGCGAGATCTGTCGGTATCTGCTCACCGCGCCATCAGCTTCGTGCGACACCACGCACAAAGTTCGATTAATGTTTGGAAACGGTCTCAGACCTCAGATTTGGAAGCCTTTCGTGGAGAGATTCGGCGTGAAGCAAATAGGCGAATTTTACGGTGCCACTGAAGGGAATTCGAATCTTGGTAATTCACGCTCACTCGATACTTTACTTTTTGGTCGGTTCTGATTATAAATTACTTTCTTTCTGAATTATTTTCAGTGAACATCGATAACAAGATTGGCGCAGTGGGATTCGTGCCACTCTGCGCTGGTTCCTTGTATCCTGTAGCGTTATTGAGAGTTGACGAAGAAACTGGAGAACCTTTGAGGGAACCAGACGGCCTGTGTATACGTTGCAAACCTGGTTAATAACATATTTCTCTGTTAAAAATGGGAAACTCTAACTGTACATGTTTTCAATGTCCCATTCCTTTAACAAATTTTTTCACCTTTGTTAGGAGAGTCAGGTATTTTCGTGGGTAAAATCAATCCAAAGAGGGTGTTAAATGACTTCTCTGGATACGTAGATAGGAAAGCGTCGGAACAAAAGATTCTTCGCGATGTTTTTCGAAAAGGAGACCGAGTCTTCAATTCTGGTCAGTGAGATAAATCAATAAAGAATATTGAAAGATATATCAAGGTGTTTAAGAAAGATATTATAATTTAACTATATTGTTTGTACAGGTGATATTTTGCTCATGGATGAATTTGGATACTTCTACTTTAAGGATAGGACTGGTGACACGTTTAGGCAAGACTTCTTAGTATAATTATGCAGATTTACATTTCATGATTTGGAACCTATTTCCAATCTTTATAATTGTTACTATAGGTGGCACGGTGAAAATGTCGCCACTTCTGAGGTAGAGGCTGTTGTCAGCAACTTGATAGGTTTAAAGGACGCAGCTGTATATGGAGTCGAGGTAATTGCCGATAAAAATTGATTGTTTTTTACCCAGAGTAGATTTAAAATGTTGCGTGATTAACAGGTACCTGGAACCGAAGGAAAAGCTGGAATGGCTGCCGTTTACGATCCAGAAAACACTTTGAACATCAAAGAAATGGCAGAAGGTTTAAAAAAATCTTTGCCATCGTACGCCAGACCTCTTTTCGTTCGGGTCTTATCAGAATTACCGATGACTGGCAAGTATTCTAATTATAACCGATTTACTTATTATCTTAGTTTTTGTATTTACTATCTTAATTATTAACATTTAAATGATAACAGTTTTTATTTTACTAGGCACGTTTAAGTTGAAGAAAAAGGATCTTCAAGAGGACGGATTCAATATTAAAAAGGTAATGTTATAATTTTTACGTTTAATATTTTATAATATATTATTCTTACAATTTTACTTATACAGGTTTCAGATCCAATTTATTTCCTTGACAACTCTGGTGTCTATGTGAAGCTGACGGAAGAAATTTATAACAATATACTCGATGGGAAGATTCGATTGTGAATCCTTGAGAAAACTCAATGAAAGTATAAACAATCTCAATTTTGTATAATTTCTATTTATTGATGAGAGAAAGAGTCTATTAGATAGATTTATCTTTTGTTCACACAAGTATCCGCAACTATTCCGAACATCTCATCGCAAAGTTAGTTCGAAAAGATATTATATTTATGGATATTTCTATATCTATTTTATTCTACGATCCTTGTCATCTCAAAGCTCTGTGATTCAGAATTGTAGGAACGGACCAAACAAATAGATTTAGTGCGTATATATAAAAGAAAAATATTCCCGAAAGAAACTCATGTCCTGAAAATTGTGGATTGTTAATTCTTAATCGGCTAGATGTATTTTTATCTATTATATAGAACTGTTGTTAGAGAAGTAAGACTTTTAAGTTATTTTATAAAAAGCTGGTGGAGGAATCGAGCACAAAGCGACTGCAACTCTGTAAAGTAATGTGTGTAAAATGAAACACCGCGTCATAGTTTAATAAATTGTCCCCTTGTTGAGGAAAACCAATTCGAGCTGAACTTTGTCCCCTGGAGGTGCCTTACTTTACGCCCACCCGCAGTATTGTCTCTAATAGAAGCAGAAATCGTTGGTGCGCAGTCTCGATCGGAGTACAGTGACCCTCATCGTTATCAGACTGATGTGTAATATCAGATCCAATATTCTCTGCTATTCAACGACTATGATGGAACTAACAATTCAATAAAAAATATATTTTACATCGAAGAAATGGTGAATGAAATAATTTCATTCGTTCGAATTACTCAATTTCTAAAAACATTATTTTCTCAACTTCCTGACATTTGCATAATAATTCTAATTGATGGTCGTCCACGATGATATCATATTTTAACCTCGATTGTTCATGAATGAGAACCATTTACAAGTCTCGTTGCAAGAAAATTTTACGGTTAGGCGGAGTTCGCCATCGTGTTACGCAATTGATGTAATCGACCGTTGTGGAAAAGTACTAGTAGGTACTAGTAGCACAGACGAGTATACACGGCATCCCATTTCTAATCAATGCTTATAGTCTACTGCGTCAATTTTCGCAACAGTGCTGCTATCGAGTGTACGACACCGGAAAATACTCGACAAAAATAGTTGCTCCAAACCACGAAGTGCCATTGATCATGTCAACAGAGAAGGAAACCAGGCATTATTGATTTAAATTGCCTCGATCATCATTGAATCGAAGAAAGGAAAGAAAAAGGCATTCCCGTCGATAATCATTGTGTATTCTCAATTTCCTTCAATAATCGAAAATTGGCTGCCTGTACCTATTATATGTGATAAACATGCGTAATTACAGTTTGTTTGTTTTGTTATGTATATATCATTGAGACTTGTCAACGTCCAATCTTATCAGGCATTACCGTGCACAAATTTTATGCTCTTTATAGATTACTTCGATTATCTGGCGAAGTAATTTCTCTTGCTTTTTAACCATTCCTAGTAGCTGATCCATTCCTCGAGTATCTGTCGAGTAGTGCACGAATAATATGAGCAACGACAAATTCGAGTTCGCCATAGATCGCGGCGGCACGTTTACCGACGTGTACGCCAGATGTCCAGGCGGGAAGATTCGGGTTATGAAACTGCTCTCTGTAGATCCTGCCAACTACGAGGACGCGCCACGCGAAGGAATTCGCAGAATTCTCGAACAGGTACCTATAGTTATGATCTGAGAATTTGATTTCGTATATGACATAAAGCAATTTCAGGAAACTGGAAAGAAAATCAATGGGGAAATAGATACATCGTTGATATCATGGATTCGAATGGGTACGACAGTTGCTACGAATGCTCTTTTAGAAAGAAAAGGCGCGAGAATGGCGCTCCTGATAAACGAAGGGTTCAGAGATCTTCTTTTTATAGGAAATCAAGCACGACCGAATATATTCGACTTGGTTTGTATTTAAATATAGCGTTAAATTAATATACAATTTGAAATAAGTAAATTGAAATAACCAAAGAAAATTGCGTTCTTTTTTTTTCTTTAGCAAGTAATTACACCGGAAGTATTATATGAGAGAGTAGTCGAAGTTAAATGCAGGGTGATACCTGCATTGCCTGGTAAATGTCACTTGGATAGTAAAAAATGGCGCAGAGTGAAGGGATCTACGAGCGAGGATCTCTTTATTACTCAAGAACTCGACGAAGAGAAATTAAAACTAGATCTAAAGGAATTAAGAAGATCGGGAATTGAAAGTTTAGCAGTGGTTCTCGCGCACAGTTACACGTCAGTTACATCAGATGTCAATTATAATTTAATTTAATATTCTATCAAACTTTACTCATACTTTGTTCGTTTATTTTAGGTTTGCGGAACACGAGATAAGAGTAGGTGAGTTGGCGAAACTGGTCGGTTTTTCGCAAGTCTCGCTTTCTCACGAAGTTATGCCCATGACGAGGATAGTTCCTCGAGGATTCACTGCTTCTGCCGATGCATATTTGACACCGCATATTAAACAATACTTGCAGGTATTTTTTCTTAATATATTGTTTCATATTTTAATCTTTCATATCATAACTAAATCTATTTTAGGGATTCTCCTCTGGTTTCAAAGATAAATTGAAAGGGGTGAACGTTTTGTTCATGCAGAGCGATGGCGGATTGACTCCGATGAATTCGTAAATGCAGTTTTATCGAATTAACGAACAAACCGATAAAAACCAATTAGTATAACGGCTGTCTTTATAGATTCAATGGGTCTCGAGCCATTCTTTCTGGCCCTGCTGGCGGTGTAGTTGGTTATGCGATGACTACTTATGGTAAAGAGACCGATTTACCGGTGATCGGGTTCGATATGGGTGGCACCTCAACTGATGTCAGTCGTTATGGTGGTAACTATGAGCACGTTTACGAGAGCACGACCGCTGGCGTCACGATCCAGGCTGCACAGGTACTCCTACTTTATATTAGCTTCTATTTCTTTAAATTCAAATCAAATGTCTCTATCCAAATCGACGATAAACTATCTTGAAACTATTAAGTTGGCGAGGATGCCTCGTAAATGAAGTGAAAAGATATTGTATTGGCGCAATGTAGTCGATGTTAATCGAAATGATTTAAGAGATAAACCACATTCTCAAACATATCTCGAAATTGGGTCAAAGTTGGACGTGAACACAGTTGCGGCAGGAGGTGGATCGATGCTTTTCTTCAGGTCGGGTCTCTTCGAGGTAGGACCTGAGAGCGCTGGAGCCCATCCTGGTCCAGCGTGCTACAAGAAGAACGGTCCTCTGGCTGTCACCGATGCGAATCTAGCTTTGGGAAGACTCTTGCCGGAATATTTCCCGAAGATATTTGGTCCGAATGAGAATGAACCACTGGACAAGTCTCGAACGATGGAAGCTTTCCAAACACTTACGAATCAAGTATAGAACGCATTTTCTGTTGAAACATCGTCATACTGTGTGAAACAATCAGTAGTTTATCGACGAATCAACTATGGTTTATAGATAAACGAATTTCTAGCGACAGAGGGGCATAGACCGAAGATGACCGTCGAAGAAGTAGCAATGGGATTCATCAGAGTGGCCAACGAAACTATGTGTCGACCAATACGAGCTTTAACACAGGTATTTACTAAACTGTATGAAGTCTATTAACATTTATATATTACACAGATACACTATATAACATTTTAATTCATTAAAAAATTCTGTTCTTCTCTGCGAATTAGGCGAAAGGCTATGATACATCTCGCCACGTTTTGGCGTGTTTCGGAGGTGCAGGTGGGCAACACGCGTGTGCTATTGCACGTTCTCTAGGAATGGGCACTGTCTTCGTTCATAAATACGCTGGAATTTTGTCGGCCTACGGAATGGCCCTGGCTGATGTCGTGGAAGAAGCTCAGGAACCCAGTGCGGAAATTTATGAACAAGGTATATTTAATGAAAATGCTCGTATATTTCTTCTTACATTAGCTTCTTACAATTTGATGTAAATTTTTTATTTTTTTACTTAGAATCATTTGCACGTCTGGATGAGCGCCTAGATGCCTTAGAAAAGAAGGTTCGAGAAAAGGTAGCTGCTCAAGGATTTCCTGATTCTTACATAGAGACGGAATTTTTCCTACATTTGCGCTATCAAGGAACAGATTGCGCCCTAATGTGCACCCCTAGTAAAAATTCTGAAAATAACGCCACGAAGCATGGGGATTTCCTTACTACGTTCTTGGAAAGGTAAAGTTTCTTTCTATCGATATAAAAAAAAGGAAGAAAGAGAAACCTTAATCTATGACCTCTATCTTTATATGTCACCTTTAATGATAATTGCATCGAATTAAGGTACCAAACAGAGTTTGGTTTCGTTATGCCCAATCGAAAGATTCTGGTGAACGACATAAGAGTAAGAGGCACAGGAAAGATTGATATCCAGGAAGATCCACATCTACCTTTCTCCAATGTTTCACCAAAGGTAGAAAAGGTAAGCAGAAGAAAAACTACACCAAATTAGTCCAATCCATCAACGACCAAGTAGCGGAATTCTAATCTTCTTCCAGACTACCATGGTGTACTTCGAAAATGGTTACCAGGAGACCAAAGTGTATCAATTGCATTCTCTCTCACCTGGCCACGTGATTCACGGGCCGGCCATTATAATGGACAGTCTGAGCACTCTTTTGATCGAGCCCGATTGCACCGCATCGATCACATCTCGCGGCGATGTGAAGATAACGATCGGTCAAGGGCTAAGGGCCGAGGTCACGACCGAACTGGATACCATTCAACTGAGCATCTTCTCTCATCGTTTCATGAGCATCGCCGAACAAATGGGCAGGTAGATCGATGGATAAAATGTACTTAAGAGAGTCTATTAAAGTACGAGGCTCTGATAAATTGGAATTATGACCTTGAAGGATTCTTCAGCGAACCGCTATCTCAACGAACATCAAGGAGCGTTTGGATTTTTCATGTGCGGTTTTTGGGCCCGATGGTGGTCTGGTTTCCAATGCTCCGCACATACCCGTGCATCTGGGTGCCATGCAGGAAACGGTTCAGTATCAAATGAAGGCTTTCAACGGTGAATTTTCAAAAGGGGACGTGATCCTCGCGAACCATCCCTGCGCTGGAGGATCTCACCTTCCGGATCTTACTGTCATCACCCCCGTGTTTTACAGGTATTTATTCTTTAATGTTAGGAAATAACAATAATTTAATATGTTTGTATGTCTTGAATTTTCAATGTGTTCAAATAGAGACGTAGAGAAGCCAGTGTTTTTTGTAGCCAGCAGAGGACATCATGCTGACATAGGAGGCATTACACCTGGCTCCATGCCACCACATTCAACCTCTTTGCTCCAGGTATGAAAGATTTCCAAAACTTTGAACTCAGAAAAAATTCTCTTTTTGATTAATGCCAGCTCTTTGCCTTTGTTGAATGTGTCTACACTATGTCCATTAATATGATAATTACCAACAAGTTATGTTCTTCTACAGGAAGGGGCGACTTTCAAGAGTTTCTTGTTGGTTCAGAAAGGGGTATTTAGAGAGAAAGAGTTGACGGAAGCGTTGATGGCACCTGGAAAGATCCCAGGAAGTTCCGGAACCAGAAATCTGTCTGACAATCTGAGCGATCTCAAGGCTCAGATTGCAGCCAATCACAAAGTAATTATAACGACGATCTTGTCTTTTCATTCGTAATTTTAGAAAATATTTTTTTCATAGGGGTTACTGTTGGTCAATGAACTGATCGATATATACGGTCTCGATGTGGTGCAAGCTTACATGGGTCATATTCAACACAACGCTGAGGTTGCTGTGAGGGATATGTTAAAATCTGTTGGCAAAAAGCTTCTTGAGCAAACTGGAAACACTGTAGCAACCTCGGTAGATTATCTGGATGACGGAAGTCCTATTCAACTCCTTTTGAACATTGACGTGGACAAGGGCGAAGCTGTCTGTGATTTTACGTAAGTTTTTCTCTCTTTTCATACTCATATAATTACTGTCTTTGAAATTTCTGGTGTAAGAAAGAATGAAAATTTCAGTGGTACAGGGTATGAGGTATGGGGCAACTGTAACGCGCCTAGGGCTATTACTCTTTCTGCGTTAATTTATTGTCTGAGATGCATAGTGGGTAGAGATGTTCCTTTGAATCAGGTAATGTCAATTTTTATCAATTAATCCTCATAATCTTGTTAAATGTAAAAGAAAATTTCGCAATGTTCGCCACTGAATATGGTATTTCGTTTCCAGGGTTGCCTAAAGCCTGTAAAGGTAATTATTCCAAAAGGGTCTCTTTTAGATCCTTCAGAGGAGGCAGCGGTGGTCGGCGGCAACGTGCTCACGTCTCAACGCGTAGTTGATGTAGTTCTGCAAGCTTTCGGAGCTTGTGCAGCGTCACAGGGTTGCATGAACAATGTGACGCTTGGCACTGAGGAATGGGGTTATTACGAAACTGTTGCTGGAGGCAGTGGAGCCGTAAGAAATTCAAACTTTCTACTTCTTCTACCTAAATTAATAATATTTATTTGTCATAAAATTTGTTCACCAAGGGACCAACATGGGATGGTAGAGGAGGTGTTCACACACACATGACAAATACAAGAATCACCGATCCAGAGATATTGGAACTTCGTTATCCGGTTATTCTTAACAAGTTTTCTCTTCGACCCGGAAGCGGAGGAGCTGGTGCTCATCCTGGTGGCGATGGTGTCGTTCGTGAAATGACATTTAGGTACTTATATCGTATCGTAAATTTTCTAAAAAAACATTTAATTGTAAACGTCTTTGAAATTTTATAGAGCACCCATGATGTTGTCTATATTGACGGAAAGAAGAGTACATAGTCCACCAGGATTAGCAGGAGGACGGCCAGGTCAGAAAGGACGAAACACATTACAAAGAGCCGATGGTAGAAGAATTAATGTAGGCCCCAAAACCGCGGTGCCTGTTTGCCCTGGGGTAAGAAAGATGGCAATTCTTTTACAACGAGCATCCCTTCGCGTAGACGTAGACGTATGGCTTGCATAAATTTTACACGACGCTGTAAAAGTTGCGGGATACGACGGAAACAGCAAACCGCGGATCGCGTGCATTTCGAGAAGGTAAAATAGCAACGAATCTATTCGCGTTTTACGCCGGGCTGTAAAAAATTTTATCTCGGTCGATATAATCGGGTCTATTTGCAAGTCGCTGCTGGCAACGTTTCTCTATACACGTTGTTTGCAAAATTTCCGTCGATATTACCTATATTGTTATTGGAAGAAGGAAGCAAGATTATACTACAACTGCTTGGACCACAGAGAAAATGGAATACGGCTGTTGGTTGCCAACTTTTCTTTTTGAAACTTGTTTCTCTATTTACGTTTGCAATATCGTGCTCACGCGTTTCGTCGTCTCCAATTTCATTTTTCCCAGGAAAATGCAAACGAAAGTCGAGCTTTGTTTGATATTTGTTGAATTTTAACAATTTTCCATAGGATACGTTCATTCTGGAAACTCCTGGAGGCGGTGGCTACGGTTCTGCCGGCGAAAAAATGCCATCGATGCAGAAAACATCTCAAGGATTCGTCGAACGTGGTAGCGTGTTCGAATATAGAAAAGCACAAGAATCTGTATAATGTATATTCACAACTGCACATACTCGTTAATGACAATAATTATTTTAATAATCGCACAATATTTTTATCCTTGTAATTATATCGACGAAAGACAATAAATGCAAAGCGAATGAATATTCGACGTCGATTTAATCGTCCACTCAATCGATTTTCGATCACCACCAATATGATAACGATAGAGCCGGCTGTAAGAGGGTAATCGAAGCGTTCAATTTATCGCTAAACGATTTATTCAGAAGTTTCTTAATAAATCGAAGCGAGGATTGAATCAAATTTACTGGACCTAGCATCGATTTGCCCGTACGGTTCATTTGGGAATGGCACACGATGGCTACCATTCCATTTCCGGTCGCAGTAATTGCTGACCGAAATATCGCGGCCTCTGTACACGTGCGCAGCTCGACACTTCCGATTGCACTTCCATTTGCACGGAAGGTTTCTTAGACACCCACACGATCTTCATCCAATATTCATGCATTTCCACCTAAGCTCTATTTTACGCAAGAAAAAGAGAGAAAATAGTATTGCAAGCAAATAGAATAATCGATTCTTTTCTCGCAACTATGAATAGAGCTCTCATTGATGTTCACCGCATAGCTCCGTGCGAAAAAAAGAAAGTCGAGAGCTCTTATTTCGCAGACTTCTGCTAGCTGTGAAGCTCCTTTGTGCATCCTTCTTTTCATCGCGAGACACGGACCAAGAAACGTCCACGATGTCGCATTAAAATGTAATACGACGCGCCGCGTGTTAAGGTTCGTTCACAATTAGCTCGTCTGAACGAACCGCTGATCTTAGACTTCGTACGTGACGATCCGTAAAGAAGCGAAACCGAAACCCGAATTTTCCTCGGTTTTGAGAAAGAACGCCAGCCGTATAAGGAAACGCTGATTGAAAGGGGAATATATTTTTCCCCTTTGTTCCGAAGCAACTGTTCTCGGAAGCTTTAATATCGTTCGAAATCACCGCTTTCAGTGATCGTTTCAGTTCATTTGGAGGAAGGCAGACACGCCGCGTTATGATCACGGAACGATAAAGTTTTCGTGAAAATGTTACGAATGCTGGAGTGCTCGCGTAAGGGGGAGCGGAAAAGTTGCATGAAAAACGACGATAGTTCGACAAAGTTTCGACCTCCCTTTTTGCCAAAGTTATATCCTTCTGGTCGATACGCGCGCGTGCCTCGGCCAACTAGTAAAACTGACGCCCGATTTTCCGGTAAATCTGCTGTCTTTTAAAGAAAATACTGTCAAGATTCGTTTCAAAAATATTTTCAAAGCGATTTTATATATTTTTTTTTTTTTTTTGTATAGCTGTCGATCATCGACCTGGAATTTATTCCCTTTTGAACGAACGTCCTCGAGATGTCTATCAATTTGCCAGACAAGTCGATCTATGTTTAACTTGATCCAAAATTCCAGCTATTCGTCAACATCTTTCTTTATTGGATTTTATATTCTTTCGTCATAGTCTTCGATAATAAAAATGACAGACTGTGTAAACGGTAATTAGGCGGTGTTCGTTCAGTTGCAATAATCTCGAAAAACGCTTTATGGTTTACGCAATAAGTCTCTCAAACACCTGTCAAATACTCTTATAAAGCGAGCCTCTCGACTAAAAACCGATTAAACAGCCAGTGAAAACAGTCGAAATTAACGCTTCTCTTACGATGAGGATACCTTCAATATTTTTCTTCCTCTTCGCGCTTCATTGCATTTGTCTGTTCTCGAGTGCCAACTGCAAGGAACAATTGATTCGAGATGAAAATTCCGGGCATCTGAATCCAAACCCGCAGAACTCGCTAGTCCACGGCCGAGTAATTACCTCGAGAAAGGAACCTGTGGCGAACAACGGAGCGTTTGACAAACTTCCGACATCTCGTTGGAAAAACTTTGGTCAGGTGGGTTCGAATGACAATGCGGGCTAATTACCCTGGTCATTTCATCGTTGTGTCTATTTGGAAGGTATTTTCCTCCCGGGAAAATTGCCATAATGGACGAAATAGATTCTAGAGGGAACTTTGTTCGAACTTCTTTGCAGAAGTCCAGCGATGAAATCACGTGGAAAAATCAGCGAGTTCGCAGTTGCCTGAAGAATAAAAACGCGACATCTAGTGACAAACTTCGCTTGACCATCTTTCCACAAGCAGATATCGGTCGTCTCGAAGAAAACGGGCAACTTTTCCCTCGAAAATTGAATCGGAGATCGGCGCAATCGGCACAGACGAAAAAAGAAAAACGAGACACTCGCGAATCCGGATTTCCCAGGCAAGCTTTCGATCTGAACGGCAAACTTAACCCCGATCCGCCTGCCTTTAGTTTCTTTGTTTTGTTTTCCAGTTGGGATGGCGGCAAGGATCAACACTCCGGTAAGCGACAAGCGGATGCTGAAACTTTCCAAGAGAAAGAAGAGAGGCGAGCGAAAAATCATGAAGCTCGTGTTGGCAGTCAACGTGCGTTTAATCTATCGGATTTATTGCCATTCAAAAATGGACACTTGGAGATGGTTGGTCTGCCGGGTCAACCTATTAGGAAGATTTTTGGCTTTTTCTTTAACGCGATTAAGCAGAAACCAAAGAACGGTGGTGAGAATGAGAATCAACAGTTGCATATCATAGGTTGATATGGAAATTGTTCGAATACGGAAGAGACACGTTGAAGAATACAATGGAAAACGCAGAAACTGCGAAGGTTGGTATTCACAAAGCGGCGAGAGTCGGATCATCGTCTATAAACTTTGACGCAGGGAAACCATAAACTGTTATTCGTTGCATATATACGTATTGTTAGCTTAAGCAGTGGCCCGTTTGATCAAAGAATAAATAGATCGATGATTATAATCCTGCTTGGTTCCTTTTATACGCGTAAACTATGGAAGTGTAACGTCAATTCACATCAGCTACTTATAAATTATACTTATCTATAATAAGTATTAACTTATTATAAATAATCAGCCATGTCACTGCGCCACGCCAGAAAAATTACTGAAAATTCTCAACGCGAGAATTGATTGTAATTTTAATAAATAAAAAAAAAAAAGATAATCAGAGACCAGGCCACACACCGCGGGCAGGATGGCGCCCAGATGTCTGCACATCCTTGGCGCGTACCCTCAATAGTCCTAAGTACCCACCGGGGGTCTTGGAATTTTCTTAGTTAAAGTCCTTCAGACCAAGCGAGTATCTCTTCTCTTAGGTTTCCTTTTACGTTTATGGTGTACTACTGGTTAACACGGAAAGTTAGTTTTTCCTCACGTCTGGTTAGCAACTTTCTCACGAGGGCGGCTAAAACCCTTCCTGGTTCACCAAGCGTCTTGTCATCCAATCGGAGACGGTGTCTACTGCCCTCACTTCCTTAACCAAAATTATCATCAACAAATCCGATAGTCCCGTGTCCTTAGACACACCCACCCCTAGCTTTCCTCAGACACAGTATCGTCAGTAAAATTTCACTTATTCCGTATCCTTAGAATAGTCAACATATCTTTATCGGTCTCTACCCTTATAACAGTCGCGTACTTAACGTATCATTGTAACTAAGTTTTACATAACGTAGTTCGAGTGAATTGTGATTTATGTTAATTCAGTGTGTGTTACATTGTGATTGCTGAATTCATAATAAAGTTTAATTAAAACAAAATTAATAGTTGTGTTACGACTCAGCTATTTTATTTCATCAACCAACCCTTAAGTTTACGTGACGATGGCTTCGGGGTTTCCAGTTATAGGGTAACACTGCTAGTGCCACGTAAACTCGAGGGTTGGATGAAAAAATAAAATAGCTGAGTCGTAACAGCGTGCGTTGCTATTCGACCTCAATACGTGAAAGCAAAGAAGCTAAATGGAAGTTTTAACCAAAGATAAATACTATTCGGTTATTACACGACTGATCCGTCTTAAGATTTTTCGACAGATGAAAGAACGTCTTGAACATCTTGGAACGAACGAGTGTATGAACATCTAGCTCGAAGGTAACGAGAAGAAGACGTAAATTTGTTGTCGTTTATCACGTGTACTACGATTAATGATCAGAGAGGTAATGATTCGCGCGCGAATGCATATCGAACAATTAGTAATATATCGGCGAAATTTAAGGTAACGATCGTCGATTGGCACGTGTACCTTAATTAATCACGTTCCGATGCATAATGCATATTTGATGAGCAAATCCGTTTAGTATTAATATCCTGATTATCGATTCATTCGTAACATTGAATAATCAAATTAACCGACACGATATATCCTCGGGCGGCATGAATCGAATTAGATGGAAACAATTAATAACAAGATTTTACTTATTTTATTTAATTCGTCATTGACCTGTCAGCAAATTAGGAAAATCGAGCTCACGTCTTTGCGGTATTCGTTGATTTGGTTTCCTGTTTCTATCTCGCGTGTATCGCAAAACTCGCGAATTTTTTCACCACCTGCGAAGAGAAAGTTTCCATCGTTTTCACGAAAGATAACGAGAGATATCGATTCGATCAACGGAAGGGAAATTTTTATAGAAAATTCCACCAACGAATACTTTATTTTCTTTCCGTTCTCTGTTTGCCTTTCCGTGAGGATTATTTTCCATGCATTGCCGACGCTTCAAATTTTATTTTTCCAGAGGTTGGTCATAACTATAACGCATCAACCCTATGAAAGACGAGTTCTACGATCACGCTGTTTCGCATAACTCGAACTTTCACCGATCGAGTAAGCAAAGCTTCGACGGGCGACAAATTTTACAGCGTAGAAAGCGAATCGCCGATATCTTTAAAACGTATTCGGGAATTGAAATCTTCGCAAGGAACGGAGTCGTCTAATTTTTCGGACGATCGTTGATACTTTTACGCATGCTACCATCTTTCGCTAAATCTGGAGTCTGCGGGGAAGTATTCTTCCGAGTGGAAGAACACTTACCTTGGAATCACGTGGAGGCTGTCTAAACGTGACCGACTCCGACTCGAGTCTGTGATTTACTGGAAACCACAGCTGGATCTTCGACGATTCGTCTCGCCAAGGAAATGTAGCTCGCACGAGGCCAGCATTCAATAGCCGAACGTTCCAAATCTTCTTCCCGCCTGTTGAAATATTAACGAGTATCTGCTAGATTTCGTCCCTTGTTTGTGGCTCATTTGGCAAACAGCTTTTACTCCGCTTGTACCGATATCGCCAACATCCTGCTATTATTAATCACCAGTAAACTTTTCCAGGAATTTGAGGAAAATCCTAACAAATCTGTACGAGATTTGGAGTGACCGCCTGGTAATTACCGCGACGATTTATGCGAACCAGATGCGGTCCTCGGGCAGGACGACCGTCAAGGGTCTACGCTACCCTAGTGCGGCCCCATCATAAACAGTGGGCCTGTTGTACAATCTAGGTACTTTAGGACTCCACGGAGAGAACCCATAAGGCACGAAACTTCTTTAGTTTATGCTGCATCTCAGGAAGACCGAACACGCGGGTTTCCCCAAGTGTAAGGTCACCTTCGCGACCCTTCACGAAGGCAGCCAGCCCATCCTCAAACATACGTCTTTACCCAATGATCAGTTAGGAACAGATTTGAGACACACCCACCACGAACCTTCCTCTACGACAGCAACATCACCAAGAGACACTCTCGCACCAGTATTCTAAGAGTCAACACATAACGGTATTCAGTCAGTGACCATTATATTTAACAGGATAGCCAGTGAATTAAAGACAGTTGTTTTCAGAGTATTAAGTGGAACTCAGTGAACTTAAAGACAGTTGTATTCAGAGTATTGAGTGGAATAAATAAGGTGAACTAAATCTCTTTACGTTTATTATAATCCTGCACCTTGGACGCTAATAACGTCCAAGGCTCGCGATACCAACCGATCGTTCGTAACTGGTCGTTAGTTAGTTGTGTGTCGCAACAAAATCTAATATTCCAAGAGAAATAGTTTGCGAATGCCGCATCCAACCGAGATCTGACGGGATTCTCATTGAGAACGCGTGTCGGATCCTCTAAAAGACGAATGAATTCCTTTCCGTTTGAAGTCCTGGCTGACACACGGGTCTGGACAGTTCTGAACACAGGGTAAATTGCGCGCGTGTTTCGGCTGACGTGTATGAATTGCACGAGTAAAGGAAAAATGGAGGACAAGTTGAGAGGATAACGCACGTGTATCCGGAATCGCGCGAAAAGCTCTCGCTTTACGATTTTATGGAAAGAAGGCGATCGTCGAACGGTTAGAACCGCCCAAAACGAACAGAAACGGAAACTTGTGCTACAAAACGCACGATAAAGGGATGGTCAACCCGGTGCCAGTGGCACGTTACCAACCGAGCCACTGATATAAATCTTATTTCTCCGTTTTGTGTAATGTTGGACTGTAAGTGTATGCGCACGAATCGGTCTCCCAGACGAAACGTATATGTATGCACAATGCACGTCCTCCACGCTACTTGTCTCGGTCCGATCTCTCGCATAAATCGTCCAGCCAACGTTTCCTCCGAATCCCGTGGAAAACTGTGCGAGAATAATTTCCTGGCTGTACGGTTTTTGCTCGGTTCGCGAGCATTCCACCGTCGTACTTTAATGTTTAACACTTTGTACACGGCTTGAAGTCGACTACGCCGGAGTGAGATATTGGCGATGTTATCCGGAACCGAGTCTCGGATTCTGACAAACGAGGCGTCTCGCGTTTACATAGACGTTAACATTTGGTTTCTAAAATATACCGTGGCGAGGATTTGAAAGTTTTAAGCGTTTCGAAAGATTAGGTGTTTTTCTATTTACGCGTATGTAAGACGCGTGTAGAATATTGCGATGGAAGTTGTATTCAAATTTACGACTATATTTACGCTTGACCCGTTAAACGCAGTCTTCTTGCTCGCAGAGGGATTCAATTTTCTCGAAAAATTGAAAGAAAGTACAGCGTAATAGATAGATTATACCGGAAGCTGAATTTTAAACAAAGTCAAACTCTCGCGAGGTAATCGCGTGAGAAGTTGGCAAAAGTGGATCGTCGAACGGTACACGCTGCTCGTCTACCTAACGTTTCTCTCTGACGGGAACACCGACCTTCTTTAGCGTAGTTTGCTGTTTGCACAATATTAGAACGATTTCTGAGTAACAACGCAGGGCAAGGAAACGACGTAGAGTTTACGAGGATGAAACGGCAGAGTAACGCGTTTTCACGGAGCATTGTCCCGTAATGGTATGCGAAACTCTCGACAAGTTCGCCGAATTTGGTTCGCAAGCGGAGATTGCTCGCTTTAAAAGTCAACCACTTCGTCAAATCTTTCTTCAATTATGAGAATCCTTTTATGCGCAAGCACGACAGAATAGTCCAACTATTAGCGAGACAAAGCTCGTCGAAGATCAATGGAGAACTTATAATCGCGAAACTTCGATAAACGAGACTATTTCGCTCCGTTCGGCTGATAATCGACGATCGTCTTTCGAACGTCATATTACGTTTGTGGTTAGATTTGTTCTCGTTGTTCGTCGCTCGAAAGAATATCGACGATGTCGAAGATGTTTAAGATATTTAAACCATCCAGTGGTTTGATCAAGCGTTATCAAAGTCAGATTCAAAACAATCGCGACGCTTGGAGAACGAAGATTAAGAAACACGCGTTCTATTTGTCCGGATATCACAAATATGGACTATATACCCACGATATATTTTACGACCAGGACCCTGTGATAAGAGAGGCATTACGTCGACTGCCAATACAAGTGTTAGACGGCAGAAATTTTAGGTATTCGCTGAAATATGTTTGCGTTTTATGTTAATCGTGCGCAGCTAGTTGACGAATTTCTATAGCGGCCTTTCCACCAGCCGAATATTCGACTCGCATATTTGCGAGGCCAGCTTGCCACGAAACTATGCGTAAATCTTCTATCCAGGATTATGGAATTTCTAGGCTCATACGTAGCTCTCAATTGGACTTTCTGAAAATACATTTGCCCAAGGAAAAATGGATCACGTACGAACAAGATATGGAGTATCGATATTTGGACCCGTACATAGAAGAAATCAAGGCGGAGAGAGACGAGATTTACCAGTTTGGTTGCACTAATTATTCTGACAACGACTGGCCTAGTTGCGAAGTAAAATAAGAGTATTATCTCTCGTTTGCTGTTTCTCAAATATACGCAGGAGATAAACGAGAAGGAACAGGCGAGGCGAAAGAACATCGACGTCGAAAAATTCATTTTTTGCCTTCTGTGAACAATTTGTATAATAATTATCGTAAATATTAAAAGTCGTGAGATCTGATGAAACGGTATTAATTTCGATACACTGGAAATCAGCACATCTCCAGGTTCTATCGTATTCGAATTATAACATTAAAAAGGAAAAAACTAGTTTCTCGTTCATCTTCGAGTCGCGTATCTTAATTTGCAACGCACACGCGTCCTAGAGGAAAGAAAGTTGGTCTGAACGATAAAAGTGGATGGCGTAGGTTCTTGATGATAACTTCCGTGTCTCGCAGCTCTAATTATGGACCACGCATTCAAGTGGTTATCCCGGCAAGGATGTTGCTCTAGAGATTTGAAAGTTGCTTCTTCGAGTGTATCACGCGTTGCGGCCGCCGGCTTCAAGTAGCCTCTTCAAATTCTACCCTGACCTAGGCAGGATTCATCGTCGGTTCGCTCGTATTCAAAACGCGCCGCATCGGCAACGCTTTTTGTGATTGCACGTTCGTTTTTACGAGCAGGTATTCCGCGTGCCACGACTTCGTTACGACCGGAATATTTCCGGCAAGGCAAGACCACTTAATTAACGCCAGATACGGTTCGTGATTTTTATGTCCATATATTCGTTTCGTGATTTTTATGTCCATGTATCGAGCATACGCGCTAGTTTCGCGATATTTAGCTGACGAATCTATTGCGAAATATCGGTAATCCTCTATTTAAATACGCTTCTTTGCATATAGATCTCCCCCTCTGCTCTTTTGCCAAGAGCAAAAGTGGTTTTCTTTGCTGCAGTATTGCACCGTCGTACTACCGGCTTTAAAGGCTAAAGCATTTCGCAAAATCTTGAAAGGATCGCGCTTTTTCATTGAAAAGTATATAAAAGGATTTTCGAAACTCAAAGAACTCGGCATCATCGACGGTTGCCCCTTTAATCACGGTGACTCTTAATTAGAAAATTATATCCGCGTGTCGACAAAAGTTTCTCGAGGACACAGATGAGATGGTACGACGTCCTATTTGACGAGGATCTAGATAATACGATCGCGAACTATGTCAAAAATTTGGCCACGTCCATCGGTATTAAGTAAGGCGTTTAATGTTCTGGCTGGAACAATTGCACTTTACAGAGTATAGAGTGTTAGGCGAATGGTTTCGCTTATTCAGTTGGAAACAAAGAGGCATGACATTAATTTCACTTCTGCTGGATAGTTAATACAAGCCATTCTCAACAAGTAGAACTTCGCCAGCGATCCTAATTCGATAACTCGGCAGTTATCGGTGTCGCGAACGCTTCTTGCGGACGAACATTGTTTCGATTCCATTTATCTCGTGTGCGTCGTGCTTTTATTCAGTTTACGAGCGGTGAAATGAAATTTCAAGCGGAATCGACCGCGACAAAAATCAGCGCGGTTACCGAGTGAATTTCGATTTCTCAATTATGTAGCGACGGGCTAATTTATCCGAGAATGTGCAAGTTTGTTTCCACGTAGCTAACGATGGTATACTCTGTGTCCATTTAATTGTTCGAACCTCGAAACAATGAACCGCCGCGTGGCGACAAAGTTACATTCAATTTACAAGCCCGGCAGGGAAGCTTCGTCTGGTACAAGCGTAATTATGTTGCACCTAAAGGCAAGTAGAACTTCGATTTGAACGATGCGATCTTGTCCGATCGTTCTAGGCTTGTTTGCAAAGGTCGGAGGTATCATCAAAGTTTCGCCAACAAACTCCATCTTCTCACTAGAAACGCGAGCGAAACTGTACGAAGATATTCGCAGATTACGCAATCGATTAACGCGAAACGAGGCTTTGTTCGAGATTGCATAGTGGGATTTGCTCGATATCGGCGGATGCGAGCTAACAAGATATATTCTGTATGATCGAGCTTGCCACATTCCCGCTGTTCGCGCTAATTAAACATCATTTTGCTCGGAACGATAAATTAAATTTTACCTTTCTAGCACGTCGTTTTGTTTCGCGTACGCGTTTCTTCACCGGCGTTTATCTTTTTACGAAATTGAAAAAAGTAGACAAAGACGTCGTGCCGGAAGGAAAACATATTTTTCCCGAGGTAAGAACCAGGATCTGATTAGCCTCTTGTCTCGTACTCGGAGGAAGAAATCGCTCTCAGAAACTACGGAAGTTGCGCAACATGCGCGAAACACGAGCGAAGCGACGAGTGAAGAGGCATCTTAATTTTTCGCCGAGTCCATTCAGTTAAAATTTATCAATGATTCTTTCATTTTCTGCTAATAACTGCACATTCCGACGGCATAAATTTTATTATTGCGTTACTCTCGAGATGAATTATTATACAGCAGACGGTTTATTAAGGCGAAGAAGTTCTGTGGCAATTTGCATACATCACATCGTCGAGTCGCTTCTTATTCCTTCAAATTCATCCGAACTTACAGTAGGTTAATTAAGGAGGAATTACCGAATGAATGCCGGTTAAAATTGCCCGGCAGAGTGATTACTCGCGGCGAAGGATAGCCAAGGGAAAAGTTAGAAATATCCGGCAGCTTTACTTTTTAATCACAGTTTATCCGTGTCGAGACCTTTTACTTATCCTGTTCGTGCAATTACGGTGTATCCATTTCGTATTGTTTCCACCGAAGAGAAATAGAATCTTCGGTGACGACGTACCGGAGCTTTTTATCGAAATATTTCGAAACGTAACAACAAGGGAGAAAAATGAATCCACGTGGATAAATTCCCGTTTCCCTCGGCAAGGGGTGAATCACAACCGAGAAATCGTATTTACTTTCCATGAAAGATGGAAAGAAAACATCGGGCGCGGTGATGATAGGCGTCCTAGCCATACTGTTTGTTCAGTATTATATTTTTAATACGCTGCGATTTTCCGCGTCATGTAAATTCTAGCGACGATGAAAGGCACGTGATAATTCGTTTGTTTCATAAAAAGAAAAGGGCTTATTCGATTTACGGGCAGGCGGAACGAGCCTTTGCTCCGGCGTTTATCTGCGCGTTAGGGTGAACCGATTCCCCGCCGTATTTTATTCCGATAAATAGTTCTCGACGAATAGAGAGTTGGTCCGGCGCGTGCGAGGAGCTTGAATTGCCCAACAGGCTCGACAGTAGTTTAGAACAATAAAGACAATGCCATTGATTTCGGGATTATTGAGCGCGAACGCAGATGCAAGTTCGACTAAACTCAAATATTAATTTAAATTATACGTCACGTCGTCGCGGATTAAAATTCGGGAACGATAGCCGAGAAATGTTGATAAAAAGTAGAAATTCTTAGGATCTTTTGGCGAATTTGGCCAATTTTTAATAGCTTCGTTTTTGTATCTCTATCTCTAACAAAAACATAGTGACTTTTTTATTGAGCTAACAATTTTTATAATTTATTCTTATTAAACGGACCGATCAATATCTAAATGTTCAAGATTAACGAACACGTATGTAACAAATGTGGAACTGGTTTGAAACTCCCCCTCGGGGGTGAACAGCATTTGTGAAAACTGCATCGTAGGTGGAACGAATATATTTGCTTCTTAAATAACCGTATATTCTACATTTTCTGAAAGTTAATTGTAACTTTTTGCGTCTACATGGTTGTATGGATGTACTTTTATACAACTACAATCCTCGCTTGTAGCATTCTCATTTTCGTTATATAAGAAGATTGCGAATAAAAGATTTATCTCCATTTATCCCTACGTTTATTTATTTCTCTATTCGCAGACATCTTCTCGTCCGCATATAGCAAAATTAATCGATGCATCAGCGAGACACGACGTACTTTGCATCCTTCACATCGAGAATGTATCTCCTGTGCCGCGTGAAGCTCTCTGTTTCATCAAATTTCTTCAGCTTTTATTCTGCAAGACTAATTTCTCACGAAAGGTACGGAAGATCGCAAGAACGAATCGATCATCATGCATAAATTCATGCTGTTACTCGGAAGGACGATTTCCGCAGCCCTGTATACGAAGGTGTAAAGAATTTACTTGGGAATCTCGTTCGAATTGAATTATTAAAAAAGTATAGAATTTATTGGGGAAGTTTGGGAAGTTGATTTCAGGAGGTGGGCGAAGCTATCACGGTACTCGCGGAGTCGGGCACGTCTTGCTTTTATTAGTTCGTTAATTTAATTATCCGCAGCGAGAAAGCATTAAGCCAACACGCCACGTGAGGGCGTATAGCTTGATATAATTGAATTGTAAGCCACCTTTGCAATGCCTACGGGAATTCTACGATGAACGTGAACCAATCGATACGTATTATGTAAAGAGCACGGATGGAATTTAACGCGCGTGTATGTATAATTATTGTAACGTTTCCAGCTTAATTCGTACAATTATCGGCGCGATCGTTTAAAAATGGAGCCTGGTGCTCGACCAGAATAACAATTTATTCGGTTCCTTTTCTCTCCACCGTGGAGAACGGAGTTTCTTTTATCTACTATAATTATATCGACGATTCTCGCGACGAATCAGTAAGAAAAGCGATACACTGCAATGAGATTGCAGATAACGCGAGAACTTTCGTACCTCCTTCGACGTGGCTGTCTCTTGGAACGCTTCAAAATCTCTGGCTTGGACACGAAGCCGATAATTGGAGGGTCGATGGATAACGGAACGAGATGGTGCTCGCGGAGCTAGAAAATCGACGGTCTTATCGAAGTGTCGCGAACGTTTCAACAGACGGTCGTCAAAACGAGCCAGGAAGGAGAACCCGCACGATCGTAGAATCTCGGGTTTTAAAACGTGACATTTTTTTTCTTCTAACCGTAAAGAGGATCACGGTTGTGTAAATACGCGAGCTCGTGTATTTCGGATAGAACAGTAAATATTCGGAATGAAACATGCAGTTCACCGCAAAGTGCATTAAAACATGACCAAAAGAAGGAGGAATTTTATTAAAATTCGCGGACCGCCATGCGACTACGTAAATTGCACTTCTGTGAATTCACGCGAATCACGG